ACAACAAACCTTCTTCCAGTTTCTGAGAGAAACTCTTTCCAGCTATTTTGTTTGCCTTTGTTACTTGCACCTTCCACAAACTCCTTGAACCCTTCAATTATCCCCAAACCTTCTAACAGCACCATCCCTCTCTTTGCTTCCCTGATTTTCAAGCTCAGCTGACCATTTAATCTCAGTTCCTCAAATAGAAGCTCCTTAGCTTCAATCTTCAGAGTTTTTTTCCAATGGCCTACCTCCACAAACTCTCCCATAGCTTCAATAAGCATCTGCACTTCAGACTCTGCCAGATGGGAGCCAAACTTTGGAAGTCCAGTTTTCCTAATAAAAGACATTTTTAAAAGATAAGGAACAATAAGTGAATTATAAAACCAATTTTTTAAGTATGAATTAGGAATTTAATACCCTAGCATGGAATTGTTTGGGCTTGCCTCTTTTTTTTTTTGCATTTTCATGCATTTTTTAATTATTTTTTAAAAATATTGCACCTTGCTTGTGCATTCCTCACTTTGTGCCTTGGACACTTTTTTTTGCGCTTTGTGCTTTTAAAACACTGGGCTGTTTATAGTTGTAATGGCTGCTTGCAAGTTTAAAAAGAAAAAAATTAATTCACTCTGTGACATGGGAATCATTCCTACTGTCTAAAAATACAAAAATACATAAAAATTTCAGAACTTCCTATATGGCCATTTTTTACCACTTTCCTGCATCAATGGCATGTTTGGTCCTTCAGTTCATTGTAGTCCTACACCTTATCTAATATTGGAAATTTCCCTGAGTGACATTAGTGACCGTCAAGTTTATTTAGTTTGAAAAAGGCCCACAAAAAAGAAAGGTTCTTTTGGGGAGAGATAAGAGGTTTTTATCTCTCATTGACTGCATTCTTCTATTTGTAATCAGTATTTACCTTTTCTCAATAAAAATCATGGTTATTGATCCAAAAAAAGACCCACAGAAAAGAGTTTATTCTCAGACAAGTGGCAACGGTTCTCAAGCTGAAAATTTCCCATGGGTAGACTAGTATAGGGCACAGGGGGGAACGTGGGGCCTTTTGCATTCCTAAGTTCTCTAGGCTTCTTTTCTAGATGACTAAACTAACAGACCTTTTTTTTTTGATGAATGACTAAACTAACAGACCTTTTCTTTATGTATATACACAGGTGTACTATATTATTTTACCTGGAATATATTGACTTAAATGCACTTGAGCCACTAGCAATAATATTTAGCATTTTTTTTTTTGCAAATGTATGTATTTACTATTTTGTTTCTTACGAAGTATCTATTTGATATATTACTTTATAGTTACTATAAAAATTACTTTATAGTTATTGATAAAATCAGTTATGGAAATTACTGCAAACAGAGTATCAGATGCATTAGCTAAACAGGGAGTAGATAGGTAAAGTTTTTTCTGGGCATACTTGTAAACGATATTACTGATGGGAATTGGATCTGTCAACAGTTGTACTAAGTTTAGATCTTTAATTATTAATGAAGCCCTTTTGCTGATAAAAAAAAGTTATGGAAGTTCCAGTTTATAAGAATTGTTTATAGGGGATGCCTTTAGAGAGATGCCTTGGGTACTAAGTTTGTAAAGTTATTCTGGGCCAGGTGGTGGTGAAAATTCTTTGCATGCTGAGTTCTCTTTGCAAGATCTCATACTTGCTTTTGCATCCTTGTGGTCTGGTTTCATTATAGGCGTTCATTGGATGGATGATATTCTTAGTGGCAGGCCCATGGATTTCATTTGCCAAATTAGAGAAGCGAAGTCATTGGTCTCTAGACCAAACAGCTTATTCAACTGGTCCCTAGATTAGCCGATGATATTGCCGCTCTGTGAGTAACAAAAACCTCTCTTAAATGGGAAATACCAGGTCCTGGAGTCCTTTAATGAAGAAGTCCTCCTTTCTTTGTTCTTACATCTTCAATAAAATCCTTTAACCATAGTTGCTGATTTAAAAAACTCCAATTTAGATAAGTATTTAGGTACACAAGTTGGAATGCTTCACATCTTTACATGTTTTATTTCAGTTGTGGTAAGTGGAAATCTGTTTTAGAAACATTAAAGTGTATCTAAGAGCTACACATGCACACATGCTGCAAACATGGTACTTCCTTATGGCCTAGCTACATGCACAAACACATGGATGAATTACATCAATTTCCATTTTTGGTGCCTTATGAATTCATCATCATCATCTAAGTCTTATCCCAACTAGATGGGGTTAGCTATATGAACCCTTTCACCATCATGTTCTGTTTAATGCGATATCTATTATTAAATTATTAGTGCTTAAATCATTTTTTATTATTTTGACACATGTCCTTTTTGGTACCTCATGAATTGATTTACTCATAAATATTGCTGTTATTTGTGTTCCTTTTACTACTCATGTCATATTTTGGGGAAGTGTGAAATTTTGCCTTTTAATTTCTGTTCTTATGTTTAACAGGTTTGATGGTTTCACAAGCACATTCCAAGATAAATTATTTAAGGGCTATGATATGGAAATACACAACCAGATATTCTACACAACGTTGTGTTCTTGTGTTCTCAGTTTAAGTGGTATGTTCTTCCAGTTGCATCCGATCATTCACTTTTGATTGTTTATGTTTATATTAGGTGCTAACTTTTTTTGGGTAATAAATAAAAAATAAAGTTTTATTGATAGAGCAAAAATGTACAAGCAAAGACATAAGAAAACCAAAATACAAATATTTCAGTTCCACATTATGGATTAAAAAAAAAGCCCAAAAATTACAATCTAAATCTTCCCTAGTGATTCCTTCTAATTCTTGAAGAACTAAGGACCAATTCTCTTCCCGCTCCAAAAAACAATTTGATCCCTACTTTTTGCTTTGCCTTTGAAAACTCTTCTGTTTCTTTCCTTCCAAATTCCCAACAAATGGCAAAAAGCATGCAGCTCCACACAATCTTTGCCCATTTATTTCCTCTTAAAACAGGCCAACAACCAAAAATTTCTTTAGGTGACCTTGGATTCCACATGTCAAGACTGACAAGGCAAAAGTAGTACCCCTAGACATATTTTGAGATCACACTCTCCTCTTCAGCTAGACAAAGATAACATCTCCCTGTCAATTACAATTATCAATCAAAAAAAAAACTCCCTGTCAATTGAAAACCTACTATTTTTATCAGCAAGGAAAGGTTAGTTTTATAAGTTAAAGAGAAAACTGGATACAGATTACAACAAACAGAAAAGCATAGTCAATACTACACAGTGTGTTACAATAATGCCCAAAAAAGTTGATGCCTGTAAACTTCTTGTTTATCTAGCAAGTCAGCCATCCCATTTGCAGTCCTTCTGATCCATGTGAAAGAAGCATTGAGTTCCCTTTCTAAGCTTTCAATCTCTTGCAGGGAATGTGTATAAATCGAAGGAGCATTACCCCTAGTGTTAGACCAAGATTTCACCAGATTTGAGTCCCCTTCAACCTCCAAGTTCTTAAAATTTGCTTTTCTGGCTAGTTTTAACCCCCAAAGAAGTACTAGTAGCTCAACCTTTATTGAATTGCCAACCCCTATATGCCTTGAATACATTGCCAACACTTGTTTTCTGAGTCTCTAAACACACCGCCAATACCTATGAATCCTGGGTTTCCTATGGAACTCCCATCAAAATTCAACTTTAATTTGTTTGGAGTTGGGGGCTTCCATTCCATCCTCATTTTTCTTTCTTATAGGAATAAGCCACTTTCCTCTAAACCCACATTATATTAGCTAATAAGAAGCTTTGGAAAAGCTCAAGTGCTTTTACCCAATACGCAACTTTTATCTTTATGGTTTCCACCAATTCTTCTTTTGATCTGCACTTCTCATTAAAAAAATTTGCATTCCTTTCCTCCCGAATGGTCCACAACCACAACCGCCCTAATGGATTTCCACATTACCTCCCCTTTTTGTTAGCTGCCTTGGAAATTTTGGGTTGAAGAGGCTCACTACATTCTGAGGTGTGCTCCATCTGCAACCAAAAAGAGAGCAAAAAAACTTCCAAACAAAGAGCACATAAGGACAATGAATCAATGAGGAAGGGATTCACCATTTACATAACAAAGATAGCACACATGAGGGGGGAGGCATTTATGTGGCCTTCTCTTTTGAAGCATGTCGCAGGTGTTTATCTTTCCAAGAAAAACCTCCCAACATAAAGATTGAATTTTGGGTGGAATGGGCTTACTCTAGATCTCTTTCACTGGGAAATCCTCTCCCCTCACAATTGTTTGCACAAGGGAGTTGAAAAAAGAAGCATAGGAAAAGATACCATCAGATGAGGTGGACCAAACTCTAGTGTCCAAAGATTAAACCAAAAAAAAAAAAACTGATTTGAGATTGTCAAACAACCGGATAAGGCTCTCACACTCGTTATCCCTCAAAACCAAAGTTCCAACTCACACCAGATTGAGAAAAGGTGACAAATTTTGAAATATCTTGCTGCTTATAATTAGAAACTTAGTAAAGTTTAGGGCAAAGGGAACAAAAAGGAGTATCTCCCAGCCAAAGGTCTTCCCAAAAAAGAACCCTAGAGGCAAGAACCACAACCCACATCAAACCTGATGAAATTGAAAAAAAATTGGATATGCCTCTTCTATTGCTTTTCAAGGAGAGTTGTAGGTTGATGTAGGAGCTACCTTTGCATCCTGTCATTATTCATCAATCCATGAATGCTCTCTATAACCTTGTGCCACAACTTGTCTCTTTCCAATGAGTTGTAAATCGGTCCTAAAAAATTAGGTGTAAACTTGAAAATTAGAGAGAAAAAGGAAGAAGAAAAGTAAGAGCAGCAGTACAAGAGAAGAAGATGGCAAAAAGAGGAGGAAGAAGAAGAAAGGTTCGAATAATCTTCCCTTTCTTCTCTAATCCTTTTTATTAAGAATTAATGTTAAAGTAATTACAAGTATGCCCTTAAGTGGGCAGCCAGCTAGGCAGTAACATAAAGAGATCAAACAAAAAGAAATAACAGGCCCATTAAGAGAGGCCCATCAGCTAACAAGAAAAGGAAAAGATATTA